GTGAGCTGGCTGTGCACGTGGTGGAGACAGGTTGCTGGTGCTGGTGCCGGGTGCAGGTGCTGGTGCTGGGTGCTGGGTGCCGGTGCTGGTGCTGGTGCTGTGAGCTGGCTGTGGAAGCTATTTGTGCTGGATACTGCTTGGCCTTGGGCGAGTGAAGCCTACGCTTTGCCGTTTGTGCGCGTACGTTTGTGCGCATAATCTTATATGCGCAAGATCATGCGGCCTTATCGTTCTGCAGATCGTTGCTTCAAGCGTGCTACAAAGTCAATAGTGGCGCTGGATACTGCTTGGCGTTGGGCCGTTGGGCCAATGACACTTACGGGCTTTGCTGTTTGCGCGCGTACTTTTGTGCGCATAAACTTATACGCGCAAGATCATACGTTGTTATTCTCCAAATATAGGGATAGCTATGGGCTATGGGGTGCGCGCGCTTTCGAAAGGGTGTCGGTGCGCTGGTGCTGTGAGCTGGCTGAGCACGCGTTTAAGACGGGCGGCGGTAACAATGAGCTGCCTGCGCGCGCTTTCGGTGCTGGTGCTGGTGCTGTGAGCTGGCTGTGCACGTGGTGGAGACAGGGGTGCCGGGTGCCGGCGCTGGTGCAGGCTGGTGTGGTGAGCTGGCTGTGCACGTGGTGGAGACAGGGTGCCTGTGCCGGGTGCTGGCTGCGCGTGGTGGAGACAGGGTGCCGGGCTGGTGCCGGGTGCCTGCGCTGGGTGCTGGCTGTGCGCGTGGTGGAGACAGGGTGCCACAGGGTGCCGGTGCTGGGTGCCGGTGCCGGTGCCGGTGCTGGTGCTCTAAGCTGGCTGTGCACGTGGTGGAGACAGGTTTCGAGACAGGGTGCCGGTACTGGGTGCCGGTGCCGGGTGCTGGTCCTGTCCGCGTGGTGGAAACATGGCCCGTGCTCGTGCTAGGTGCCGACGCCGGGTGCTGGTGCGGGCTGTGCGGCTGGTGCTGGTGCTGTGAGCTGGCTGTGCGCGTGGTGGAGACACAGTGCCGGTGCTGGGCGCTGGCAGTGCGCGTGGTAGAGACAGCGGGCGCGTGGTGGAGACTGGGCGCCGGTGCTGGGTGCTGGCCGTGAGGGTGGTGGAGACTGGGTGCCGGGTGCCGGGTGCTGGGTATACCGGTGCTGGGTGCTGGGCGCCATGCTGGCGTGTCGGTGCTGGTGCCCGGGTAACAAACCGCCGCTTGCAGCAGTGAAGGGCGACCAAGCGCCGCTTCTGACAATGAAGTGCCAGGAGTCATGGGCCGCATGAACTTATGCACGCAACATCATACGGTGTTGTCGCTTCAGCGTTCTTTGTCTATTGGCGCTGTGGGGTATTTACACTCTTCAGGTTCTGTTTTGGTCGACAGCTGCGTCAGGCTTTCAACCGACCATTGTTTCAGCATGTTTCAGCATGCTACACACAGAATAGTCGTGCTGCATACTGCTTGGCCTTGGCGAGTGAAGCCAACGGGCACTTTGCCGTTTGTGCGCATACTTTTGTGCGCATAATCTTACACGCGCAAGATCATACGGCCTTACCGTTCTACAGATCGTTGCTTCAAACATGCTACAAAGTCAATAGTGGAGCTGGATACTGCTTGGCCTTGGGCCAATGACACTTACGGGCTTTGCTGTTTGCGCGCATACTTTTGTGCGCATAAACTTATACCCGCAAGATCATACGTTGTTATTCCCCAAATAGGGATAGCTATGGGGTCTTGCGCGCTTTCGAAAGGGTGTCGGTGCTGGTGCTGGTGTTGTGGTCTTGGGTGCTGGTGCTGTGAGCTGGCTGAGCGCGTGATTAAGACGGGCGGCGGCGCTGGTCGGGTGCTGGCGCTTCTGCCGGTGTTGTCAGCTGGCAAAGCGCACCGGCGCTGGTGTCAGCTGACTGTACGTGCTGTGGAGGTGCCGCAAGCTGGCTGTGCAGGCTGCGTACATTCTTGTTCCAGGCAGTCGCATCTGCCTAGCTATCTGGGTCTATGCTGGTGTAATTTTTCCTTACAAAGGCAGTGTTGTCGCCAGGTGCTTTGATACTGTTTTTGAACACGATGGGTTTTGTGGTCGTGTCCGGCCTGTTGACTTTTCTGCCGGAAGGTGCCTGAACAGAATCGCCTGTCCTTCGCTGAAGAAATTGGGTCTGGCATCTCAGTGTCAGTGTAACACAACATTAGTAACATTGGCCAGGACTCTGCTTGATTGGGTACTTTGTTGGTCGTGTTTGATCCAAACCACTTTGATGAAATCAAGTACGCTTCCCTCACAGACTACTTTGTATGATCCAGATGCGTTGCTTAACGAAACAATACGACGCAATACTATTCTGTTGAAAAGAGTTTGAACAAACCTTGTGAGTTGTGATGCTCAAACATAGCACCTCTGGGTTTGATTGAGCAGCTATAAGACAATGCCCTTCTTCATTACAGTCAACTTCAGTCCAGGACACTACTGAAAGACAGCGATGCAGATTCGAAGTACAAGGTGTGAGAGGGACAGGACAGCGAAGGAGTGCAGTGAAGTGCGACCGACGCGCTTGTGTTGAAGTGCAGTGCTGCTTGAGGGGCAAGGCAGCAAGACCAATTTGCGGAGCCAAAACTCTGATGTTCGGTCAAGACTCTTATATTTAAGCTGCTTGAATGAAATTGTTCAAGACTGCTGTTGCATGCAAAGCCCAGATGAACCAAGTTGACACTTTTGTAAAGCAGCCTTCAGAGTGCAGGCTATGCTGCTAGCTAGCGAGCAGGTTTGTGGCCTCAAAGCAATTTAAGGGACTGAAGAGACTGCTTGGCAGTAGTACGGTAGTACTATGTCAACCTTGCATCAAAGCACAAGATCAATGTTTAGTGCTGTGATTTGCGAAGATGCCTCTGCAATTTTGTGTGATAAAACTCGGGTTGAACACGGTAGCTTATTTGTGCTGATTTATTGCCAAGGCGCTGAAGAGGGAGCGAGCAGCTCTCTCATTTAGGCTGGAATTGTGAGTTCTGAGTGAAGGCAGTTTTGTGTCCCGACTTTATCCATGCTTAGTCCATCGCGAACTGAAGATCACATCTTATATAATCCTACATTTCATGGTCGGACATTTGCAAAGAGCTGTTCTGTTTAATGAGACCGCAACGCAGGGTCGAATTCACCAAAGGGAAGTCAGTGAATCAATGAAGTAGGTGCTTCTGCCCAAGTGACACAGCATCCTGCAAATGCAGGAAGAAAATGGACCATGAGGTTGCCCAGGGCAATTTTCTCAGCTTTCTACAATGTTCCTGGACATTGGGCGACAAAAGGCCAGCCAAATTGCCAAACAGATTGGCAATCATGGCCAGTATGCTCATGCCAAGCGGGTGCGGACACGAAGTTTTTGTCAAGGTGCAACAGCCTATCTTGCAAGCAAATGAATCAGCTAAGGCCCGCCAAGCCCCTGTGACAAGGTGTGTTTTGCCCGTGACGGTCGTGTTGCAAGACCTCTGAGTTTTTGTACTGTAAAGGAACAGAATAGCCCGTGCCCGTGCTATTCTGTTGGAAGCAAAATAGATGAAGCGCTTATTAATCTAAACCGTCAAAAGCAAATTCTTCTTGAGGTTCACATGTACCGCAGGCCATCATCCAGGTCGAAGAGAAGAAGGGACATTCTCGTGATGGAAAAGAGAATCAGGTGAGACTTGCCATTTTGAACCATTTTTGCTTGAACTGACACTTTTTGTCATCGCCTTATGGACAGTTTTTCATGTGTTTAAAGCAAGTCCACATTTTCCACGCTGCACATTTCAGACTATATAGACACCTGATGGCCATTTTCTGGGCTGCATTGCTTGAAACTCATTCTTCCGGGTGTTGCATTGCAGCAGGGAAAGCCAACCTCGCAGACCCTTGATGACCTGTTGGCAGGGAGCCTGAAAGGCAATGCAAAAGATTCATTTTCAGAGGTCAAAGATGGTTGCAGGAGGTTTCCCAGAAGATTGTTTCTCGAGTGTGCTGGGAACTTCATTTGGCTGCTTTGCTTTGCAAGCGGCTGGATTTGTTCAAAAGCATTTGAGAGCAGGGAGATCAAGAGGCTGGAAACGCACAACAAACAATTGTGCTGCTAAACAATGGTTCCAGCCCACATTCCATGCCATGGGACATGCAATGCTTGATACTTATTGTGAGCACCCGGTTGTTGCACATGACACGTACATGCCCCTTTTTACCCTCAGCGGTGGGGCTCGAGCATGCAGCCAAAAGGTCGTGCTGCGCAAGCGGTTTAGGTCCCTGGTGGACCGGTTTGGGCCTTTGTATAGGCCGATTGCATGGTAGGCGGAGCGGCTGGCTTCGATCCTGCTGCGGTGGCTGCTGCTGGCGGCTTTGGAGAAGGCAGCCATGCCTTCTGAGGAGGTCCCGACATGGGGCGGGGACCCTGCTGGGTTCGAAGGCTTCGCCACCTCGTGCCGGTGGTACGAAGCGAGTCTCAAAGACTCAGAGCGGAAGCTGGCGGCGCCTCGGGCTTGGCAGAGGCTGGGCGGAGCAGCGAAGAGCGTGGTCCGGCGCCTGGATCCAGCCTCCTTCACTACGGAGGGCGGCATGGGCAAGCTGCTGAGTGTCCTTCAGGACAGCCCACTTCAAAAGCTTCCAGTTCCGGACTCCTTCAACCGACTGGAGAAATGGTCAGGTTTGAGAAGAGCGGCCTCCGAGAGCATTCCACAACTTCTTGTATGAGAAGAAGAACTGTTTGTTGAACTTCAACAAGCGCTTCAACGAGCAAGAGCTGAACGGTTGAAGCATGAGGTGCGCTCCATGGCAGTTGGTGCGGATGAGCGAGACCCTCCAACTTCTCCTACGAGATCTCCGAATGTTGGTGGAGCTTTCCGGACTGGTGGTGACGCTGATGAAGCTCGAGAGCAACGACAAGGTGATCCTGGTCCTCCGACCCTCGACGATGCAGGTTTCTTTGAGAACGAACTCAGAGGCTATCGATTGTTGAAGGCTTCGAAGTTGAGCGCAGCGGAGAAACAACATGTCATGACGCTCACCAGGAACAGCGCCCACTTCCAGCTGATCCGCAACGCACTGAGGTCTCTTTTTGCTGATGGAGCTGATGGCGGTGATGATGCTGGAGGACGCTTGGCGAGGAGAACTGTTTGGTTCGCCGAGGATCCATCATGGGATCAATGGGAGGATGACTGGTGGGCTGATGACACCACTTGGGGAAGCGAAGAAGCCTACTGGGGTAGCTCTCCCTCTTCGGCATGGGACTATGTGGACGACGAGGGCGAGTACATGATTGGTGATGATGGACTACCTCATGGAGAAGAAGAAGGCTAATGAGGCGACACCAGAAGACCCTTGCTGAGGCCAAACAGGCTGTGGCTCGAGTTCGTGCAGCTCGAGGCTACTACAATCCGGTGGGCATGAAAGGAAACCCCACTGGAAAGGGCAAGGGCAAGGGCAAGTCGAGATCCCCTTTTGGGAAAGGCAAGGGCAATGGTGGCACTTCCTATGGTCCCTGCTTCATGTGTGGACAACATGGCCATAGCTATGTCCGATGCCCTGACCGTTGGTCGAAAGGTTCATCGAAAGGGTCTGCCTCGTCATCCCCGAAGGGATCACCCACGGGGAGTTCAAAAGGGAAGTCAAAGTTCCATGGCAAAGGTCGCAAGGGCAAGGCCTATTGGGTGGACTTCGGCCAGGAGTATGACATGTACGAGGTCAATGTTCTGAGCTTGGCTGACGAGACCATCTCGGGGAACATGTCCATGTCCAAGGTGGTGATCGACGCAGGCGCCACCGAATCGGTGTCAGGAGTTCGGGCAATGGCCAGGCTGATCGATTCCCTTTGGTTTCCCTACGACATCACCATCGACCAGCGACCGCGGTTCCGTTTTGGGAACGGTGAGTACCAGAGAGCCACATCCCATTGTACGTTGACGACAGCGGCCCTGGGACGAGTTGGTTTCTTCTTGCTTGATGGTGGCGCGGAAGACACTCCTCCGCTGGTGGGAGCAAAGACGATGAGGTCACGCAAGGCGGTCATCTCCTACCACGGGGACTACATCGCTCACCGAACAGCTGATGGAAAATGGTGGGCAAACACCTTGCAGACCATCGGAGGTGGACATCTTGTGTTGGACTTGTCGGAACCCTGCATCCCGCTGCACTACCTGATCAGGAGGATCAACACCGACCCTCGAGTTGGCTGCTCCACCTGGAGGTGATGACGATGACGATGGTGATGAAGATGGCGGTGATGGAGATGGAACTTGTCGGAGGAAGAGAAAGAAGACCAGGGATCCTGGCAATGACATTGTGGCTGCGACTGCAAGGCATGCGACAAGGGAGGCAGCAACACGAGGTGTTGCTCCAGTTCGACCGCCGCCGATCACGCCCAATCCTGAGAGCGACTTTGAAGAAGAGAATTACACACCGTCTCAGTGGGCAACAGATTCTCCACAGAATGAGATGATTTCGGCACCGACTAACTATGGTGCCCCTCCAAACCCCCATGGGGAAGCAAAGGATTCAGAGGAAACAAGGTGCGCAGTCGGAGCTCTCGCAGATCGTATTCCAATTGATCTGGATGAAGGTGAGATTGAAGGCTCCGAGGTTCCTGAGGCAGTGCCAGTTCTTGTGCGTGAAAGTCATGATGATGTGATTATTGAGACTTTTGGAAGCACTTCCGAACATGCATTACCTGTTCCCACTCTGCCTGCTTCACTTGATGCACACGGACATGTTCTGCAGCATGAAGACTGTCTGTGGTCAATGAGCATTCAGTTTTGATGTTGTCTGGATCGGCAAGTGGTGAACCGGAATCTTCCCTGTCCGGCCGCCTCAGCAACCTGGCTCGAAGGCTCGACGATCTGCGAACCTCCATCCATGTGGAGAATGAAGCCATGCCTGCCGGCGACCGAGCTGGATCCGAGGCATACCGGCTGGCCCTGTCACGGACATCATGTTCCGGGCCCAGTTCGAGCCAACAAGACAGCGAGCTGGCAGACTTGCGGACATTGCGGCCTCCGACTCCGGTACACCACGGGCGACTATCGGGCCATTGGTCCTCCACCAGGTGGAACAGGCCCAGATGGAGTTGCAGGAGACCTTCAAGGCCCACGAGATCAACGAGAAGATCTTCAACGGGAAGCTCATGGAGATCCGTGGCCGCTCACTGGTGGAGACGAGAGGCAGGGGGCGAACAACGGTGCAGGTCAGGGCAGACGAGAAGCTGGGAGAAGCCTTGATGGCCAGTTCGACCTGTCACCAAAGCCAGGGCCCAATGACACCATATCCGGGATCGCAGGAGATGAAACATTCGACCTCACCAAGGAAGAGATCCCCGGAGAAGCCCTCGGCGAAGCCCTCGGTCAAGCCCGAGATCAAGACCAACCTGGCCAAGGAGGAGATCAAGGAGAACGACCTGCAGAGTGTGAAGGCGATGAGCGTGAGCTCAAAGGTGTCCTCCTCGGTGGCGGCGGTCGACTCGAGCGAAGTCCAAGCAGCCCGAGGACTGCTGGAGAAAG